TCTTTATCCTGCTTAATAAAACATTGATTTGGTAACATGCAACTTCTTGTTACCTAAAATTTACAGTTTCCTACTAATACTATTTATATCAAAAAACCATTGCAGGAAGCCATGTTAAAGGCTGAACTCCGGAACATGGAGAGATCACAAAAGCGTGAAGGGATAGATATGACATACCTTAAAAACGTGATTTTGAAACTACTTGAAACAGGTACATTTAGAAAGCATTAAATCATGGGTATTTGCAAAAATACCATCCAAATCTCTGTATTTGCAAAACTACCCATCAAATCATCAATTTTGGAAGAAAAAAAAATATTACCCTCAAAGCAACTAGTCATCAACTTTGATAAGCTAATTTGTAATCACAATGGGAAAATTATCAACAAAATAGTTGATGATTTGTTGATTTTAGGGGTACTTTGTTTCACAAAGTTGATGATTTAAGTTGTAGTTTTGCCAATATTAAGATTTTGGGGTATTTTTGCAAATAACCATGATTTAAAGGATCTATATGCAAATAGCCCTTAGAATGAATACTCTTGAACTATATGCATTTATATTCTACTGGAACTTACATTCAGAATCTTAGAACTTTTTTTTGTACAAGAGAATATGAAGATAAGAATCTTATGATTTCATCGTCTCTTAACAGGTGAAGTGGAGGCCTTACTGCCTGTGGTTGGAACATTATTGCAGTTCAGCCCAGAAGAGGTATATCCAAGACTTTTATAGTAATTTTTCTATATAAATATTGAGGTTATGGTGGTTTCAGTAAGTTCGACAGTGAAACTCAAAAAGTGTGATTCTTCATCTGCTTAGCCCTAGTGGCCGCCAGTGCATAAAATAGGGCACAAGATAAGACATTTCAATTTTCGAAAACGGTGGTTTCAGAAGTTTTGGCTCTACATTTAGGACACAATATTTAAATAGAACATCATCCTTGCATATCATCTACTAATGTGAGTAGTTTCCCCTGCAGATAAGAAAGTGTCAAATAGCATATCGCTCCAATGATATATCAAGTCCAGCTGCTTCCTTGGCTGATGGGGCATCCACACCGAGCTCTCTTTTCTCAAGATTCTCATTTTCGTAAGTTTGCTGAGTGGTGATTGTGATATATCGGTCCTTTTTTTTAAAAAATTCCTCGAGGTGGAGAGTTGAGGAATTGCACATACTTTTTTCAACATATACCAAGCAAGGGAGTTCAGCATTTTGACTACCTCGTAAGGCCTGCTTTCTTCCGTTATAGTTGCATTTTTGTGACATTATGTGTAACTTTTGCATATACTTGTAATTACAATGTACATAACACCAAGAAGTACCAAGAGATCAGAAAACCCCCTCATGCAGGGGACCCATGAGTATAAACTTTGATTTTGATGTGTTATCTTCTTAAGAACAGGAAGTTCTGAGGCTACGCCCAAAAGGAGGGGGAAGGGCTGCCTTGTTTATTTTTTTTCTGAAATTTTCATTTTGCAGGTTTGCAAATAATGAAAACAAAAATCATTTCCAGGAGGTAGATTTTAGTATTTTTGCTATAGCTGAAAGCCTGAAATGGCTCATTGATGTTTTACATAATAGCTTCTCTCACTAGGTCATGTATACTAGTATACATGGAACTTGTAAGGTTAGGTCGAGTTCTTACGCCTATCTCCTAACAAATGGCCCGAAGGAACATTGAGTGGGATTAAGGTCGAGATTTTGGAGTTTTAAGACGTTCGAAATCAACTAACGGCACCCAGTCTGCTTGATTTGCACCTTTAGTCCGCAGCCTGTAACTCAGCATCCCTTTGGAGAAAGTGAAAGTGAAAGCGCATAGGAAGAAAGAGAGAGAGATCAATGCATCTCTTCAAGCTCCTCATGTTATTATCTATTTATTGATCTAAGGACTATTGCCTCGTATTAGCCCACGGTATCCAGTGAACTTGCCTATTTGAATTATTTCTATCTCGAGATCTACTTTTGGTGCATAGTACTCGTCTATGTGCCATCTTAAGGTGATTATTACAAAAATTATGCAAAGATCATATCGTAACTTAACTCCATGCCCCAAACGAATGAAATTACCACTATACTGGCCCTCCATTCTTCACCAAGGTCTTGACACGTGTCAAGGGCCTAAAACTAAGGATACAACCATCACTAACGAAAAAGCATCACCAACGAACGATTTCATAATTCTTGTGATAATTTGCTCAAGAGATGTTTGGCGTTCAAAAGCCATCTTTTCTTTCTTCGGTATCAAAGAGCTAACAGTCCAATCTACCAAGTTCAGAATTGAATTTCGACGAGCTAACAATCCAATCTACCAAGTCCAGAATTTCGACTTAATGCAAATGCATTCAGGATGTCAGTGGTAAAAAAGACAGTAGAACAATGCAAGCACGCAACCTTCATCGGATACACTCCGTATCCACCGTCAGTATCACACGTTGGTCATGAATTCACATCATCACCGAAGAGATGGAAGCTCAAATGTTCTGTGATACTATTACCACTACCAGGACCTAGCACGGGTACAAAAATAAAAAAGCAGTACAGATTCTAAAATTGTAGAGGCCATAATGAACAAACATCGGTTATACGATATAAAGAAAAAACCCTCTCAATTTTACATCTACTATAGTGGCAAGACTCTGTTTACATCCAAAGAACCTTTGATAAATGAAAGCATTGCAGCCATCCAAGGAAATTCAGGGTGCAACTGAAGACTCCTACCTCCTCACTGGGGGCACAGCGCCCCTGCCTGGGGGCCCACCTGCTCGACCTGCAGCTTGAGCCTGCACATAGGAATCGTCATATGAGTAACAGCTGATAAACAACAGCTCTAATTGTATTGTGATACATATAAGGGTTATTTCGATATTATTCCCTAAGTCCTTGATACTTGATATTGGTGCCCCCAAATCATTGAAATTTGGAATTAGTTCACAAAATCTTATAACTAACATGCCCCCACCCCCCAGTTACCAATTTTTCGGCTTGGGAGTACTCTTTAACTTTAAATAATTTGGGGAAGTAATTTCAGAACGCTTACAATATCTTTAGGCTAATTCCAAAATATGAAGATATGGCGGACTAATTTTAAAACACTTAAAAGATTAGTGAAACTAATTTCAAATATGAATATTTGGGGACTAATTTCAAAAATATGAAAAACTTGTGGACTAATATCCGAGGGACTAATTTAATATTCAAAATACTTTCTCCAATATATAACGCATCATTCTTCCAATCCATAAGACCTACATAAAATGGAAAAACTGACACCCATGCAACAACAATTACAAGGCCTCCATTCAAAATATTCAGGATTGGCTACAAAATCCTGTTGTCCTCTTGAGGGCCAAGTTGATCATTTTTCATACCCTTAATTGGTCCCAAACTCCCAATATTATCTGAAAATAAATAATCAAAATATAAAGTGACTAATTACGTGTCAGTAGGTGATTTTAATAAAAATTTGGTAAGCTGAAACCATAGGGGCACCCACGCGTTTCTCTCCCTCTAAACCTAAAACGATGATGAAAGATAAAATAAAAGAAAAAGGCCCACCATCAGAAAAAGACAAGATAAAAAAGAAATAAAAGCCCAGCATATTCGTGAATGCGTTTTCTTTTTTTTCCAATTATTTTTCACTTTTTTCCAAGGTAGTTACAGCCTCCTACCCCACCCCAATGCTGTTACTATAAACCACGGCTTATAGATGCTTACAAATTCCAGATTATCAACCTACTACAATACAGCACATGATACTTCTTATGATGGGAACCCAGCTTAAAATACTAACAGAATTAAAATTCATGTGTAATCTAAAGTGACACGTGTATTCTAATACCTTAATCGAATTATTGAAAAAAAAATAGATGACGAGATAGGAAGATGCATAATAGTTGCAGTCACAAAAATCTTTTCTAGCAAAGTGATGTAAGTGTTAATAACTGCATTGCAGGGCTATCAGAGTAACAAAGGAAAATAGGTCTATTAACAAAATAGAACTTACCCGGGCACGCATAGCAACAGCACGACCACGCCCAACACCAAGAGAAGAACCCTTGCCCTGCATTAAAAAAAACAAAACAGAATGAGAAAATCTAGCACCCTCAGCCATAGTTAATACTTTATAGCAAAGATAAACCCCGTATTCTTTTCGATTCGGGATCTTCGCATTTCTTTATATCGTATGCATTTATGGCTAGACTCCAGCATGTAGCTCAGCCGCTAGACACCCCTTTATCAGTTTTTACCCCTTTAGGTGCGATATCGCTTCTGGAGAGCGTTTGTAGGAGGTGTACCATCAGTTTAGACGAGTCGGAGCCCAGCTTAAAATACTAACAGAATTAAAATTCATGTGTAATCTAAAGTGACACGTGTATTCTAATACCTTAATCGAATTATTGAAAAAAAAATAGATGACGAGATAGGAAGATGCATAATAGTTGCAGTCACAAAAATCTTTTCTAGCAAAGTGATGTAAGTGTTAATAACTGCATTGCAGGGCTATCAGAGTAACAAAGGAAAATAGGTCTATTAACAAAATAGAACTTACCCGGGCACGCATAGCAACAGCACGACCACGCCCAACACCAAGAGAAGAACCCTTGCCCTGCATTAAAAAAAACAAAACAGAATGAGAAAATCTAGCACCCTCAGCCATAGTTAATACTTTATAGCAAAGATAAACAAGAATACACATTGCACACCTTAATTCTGGCATCCAAACGTTTGAACATAGGAGCATTCTTTAGCATATCAGGAATGACCATGAACCTGTAGAAATCAGTGCCCAAATTAGTTGTATAACACTGATATATGTTGGCATTTTGTATGATAAGATAAAACAATAGCCATGATGAACTTACCGGACCTTGCTGCCTCTGATGAAAACATGCTCAAGTTGCGACACTTTTCCATCCTACAAAGTAACAAAAGTTTGAAATTCTACAGATTATACGAAAAACTGACACCACAAAAGCTCCAGAAGGAAAACACTATGATTGATACGAAACAACCATAGCTAAATGGCTACAAGGAGAGTTAACCAATGGTGTTCATACACAAGGGGATCAAGATTGAACGAAATGTTAAGATGAGTGGCAATAGAACAAATTTAAAAGACGAGATAACAAAATACCATAAACTTTTGGAAAGGGCAATATATGTTCCAGGAGACCTAGAAACTCCCAACAACCATCGACATCTTTGTTTTATCAAAGTATACCCCCGTTAGTGTATTAAATCTACAAACTCCCAAAGTGGAGCACTAGAGTGCATAATACACTATTTCTCAAAACTAAGTCAGCTCTTAAAACTCTTTATAAGTCTATTTTGTAGTTTCAAGGAAATGGACGACCTCCACAACTAGTATTTTCCTCCTCTGTCATGGATCCATCTTTCGTTACAAGTTAAAAGAACCTTCTTCGAATCGTGTTCTAAATCGCTCGCATGCCCAAAGACTTGACGGCAATGACGTAACATATCAAACTCAAGGTCCGAGACACGATTGAAGGTTTCTTTTCAAAAGAGGCTCTGCGTAGAAAATGTACGGAAAGGGACACTATTGTCGTGTGACGGTATCTCCACTTACGAAGGGATATAGAGATGAAAATATTGGATTAGGAGGCACGCAGTAGCATGCTTCGTTGATGTCAAGTTCATCTGAATGACAAATATTAACAGCGAAAGATGATACGAAAGAAGATAATAAATGATAAATGCAGCTATCCTTCATATTTAACATCCGTGGTATAGACTTTCACTACCTCAACTCAAAATAAAAGGGAGCCATATTTCACCGGGCATAAGTTTCCAATCTTTTCACCAGGCGTATCATTTCAAACTTTCCAATCGTTTATTTTACCGCTTTAAAGTGGTGATGCTTTCATACAACTTCATTTAATAATCTACCATCTATATAAAATGAATAGAATTGTAAGAACGATTGAAATATAAGACGCAGTCAATGTAGCTTCTAGGGCTCAACACTGTTGAACGCCAAATTTAATAATTTGCTATCAAAGATGATGATTTGTTGGTTTAAGAGAGGCCATCGACCTAATTTGATGCGGACGAACCCTAACCCTAACAAAAAAAATCAAAAAAAAAAAAATTCGAACAAAGGGGGAAAACACGATGGAATTGAGATTTTTGAAAAAAAAAACAAACCCTAGCAGTGAAAGTGATGTTCTCGAGCTGGCAATTCCAGTTGTCCTCGCACTCGATCATGCTCCCTCTGTAGAGCTCGCCGCTCTTGAGCTCCACCGTCACCACGTGGCCCGCCGACTCGTGGAGGAGCTTCACCGGGATCCCTAGCCCCCTGCTCATCTCTCCCCTTTCTAAGTTTTTTTTTTTTTCCTTTTTTTCACCCCCTTCCGAGTTCTAAAACCCTAGATTTTGATGGAGGTTGGTTGATCACTGACAGAGAGGGAGTTCTTATATTTAGATTTGGATGTTGTCTGGGCTGGGCCGCTCTTGGGCTTCAAAGAAGTTAGCGATGACAAAAACTAAAGCGCTGGTGTGCTTACCGGCTTTGTTTCAACATTTTTGTAGAAAATGAATAGGATTTGGGTCTTACCGGCTTTGTTTCACCATTTTTATAGAAAATGAATAGGATTTGGGTCTGACAATGACAAAATTATAAATAAAAGATTCTTTATGAATCATATTCTTGAGTTTGATTCCCCAAAAATTTATAGATTTCGGAATCTATAAAGTTAAAAAAGTATGATGATTTTATATAAACCCAAATCCTAATGATTTGGGCGGATTTGGGGCAAAAAGCTGACGTATTTGTACTATTTTCCCTCTCTTTTTTTCTTCGGATTCCGTATCTTCACAAACCCTATATTATTATGAGACTAAATCCTATTTTCATTCCAAACTAAACTAAAGAATAGGAATTGGAGGATTTTTATAAAGTTAGATTCTATTTTTTCATGTTATGAAACAAACATAAAAAAAAAAGATTCCATGACAATATAAAATTGTCTTAAATTTTTTTTTATAGATTAGCTAGGACTCCATAAAAAATATGGGATTCCTAATCCTGATCTTGCCCACTATTGAACCAAACACCCCCTTATCATATGAGTTTGGGTTAATATCATTATTTGAAAAAAAGTTTGGGTTAATTTCACAATCCTCCCTGGACCCTTTGGCGGAGTTTTGCACGTTACCCCTCTAAACTTTGTTCATCTCGCATAAATCATTTGGGTTTTGTGGCGGCTCAGAAAACCCTCCAGCGTGTATTTTTCACATATTTTGCAGATAACTAAAATATTCTCGGGTGAAAAAAAACTCAAAATTTAGGGAGGGGTACATGACAAGTTCTGGAATTTTTCTCTCTAAAGATATAAGCTACAAAACTTCGATACTCGAGAGATTCATGATCTTATGGTTCTTACAATCATTATATGGTGGACAGATTATAGACTTAGATGATGGATCCACCCTTACTGCTACTACTCATTATGTAGCTATTAGAAATTATTTTCAAACCTTATATGATGAGTATGCAGCTAGATATGGTGTAGCTACACAACAGTCTTCAGCTTCGGCACCTTCAGCTTCGAGCACAGGTCGAGGTAAAAGTGTAAGTTTTGATAGGTATGCAATGGTAGCTGAACTAACTGGTGGATCTGGAACTTCATCAGGATTAGAGGTTTCTGAAATAGACGAATATTTATCTGCTTCCTTAGTTAAATGTCAAGGAAATGCTTTAGATATTTTGCAATGGTGGAAAGTATATGGATCAGTTTCATATCCTATACTTTCCACCATGGTTCGTGACTTACTATCAGTGCAGGTTTCGACTGTAGCCTCGGAATCCGCTTTCAGCACAGCAGGACGTTTGATCGACGACCACAGGACATGCTTAGATCCGTATACTGTACAAGCGGTGATGTGCTTACAGGATTGGTGGAGATACGAGAAGCGAACACAAGGCATCGAACGGATTGCTATGATTGAAGATAAATTTGAAGAGTTGGGACTAGCAGATAGATATAATGATTAGATAATATTCATAAAATTGTAATTTTTATTTCTTAGCTTTAAATTTGAATTAAATTATTTCGAAAAAAGTTGCAAATGATAGTGATATGGGTGAGTAGGTGCCAACCTAGTTGGGATGTACTCATCTATTGTGATGCGACGAATTTCGAAATAAATTTATACTTGTAAAGGATTTACCGATTATTAATATTGCCCGGCCCGGGCCCGGTTTTCCGGGCCGGGCCGGGCCGGGCCGGCCCGGATGGACAGCCCTAGGTCACTAACCCCCCTAAAGATATAAGCTACAAAACTTCGATACTCGAGAGATTCATGATCTTATGGTTCTTACGTCTCTAGTACCGTAACTCGATAACAATTGACTTTGACTAGAAGCATAGCAAGAGGAAAGAAAAAGAAGTGCGACGAGAAAATCAAATTTTATCAAATGCGACATGTTGTGCACGTTTAGCAACACGTGGGTTGACAGATAGAAATAGAAATAAGGGGCTTAAATTTCACGACCCCTTTAAGTTTGGACTTTTTTGAGATAACCCTCCTAAAAACTTTATAAAATTTGCCTTGAGATTCACACTACCATGAAGGCAGCTCTGTCTACAAGACTTTGTATACCATCCTAATAGAAGTGGTTTTGATAAGATTCTTCAGAGTTAAAAGAAATGATGACTTTGACCATGCGCTTAATGTGATGGTGATTGGTTGTCAGTGGGGGATTCGAGGATACACTGTCTCTTTATTCGTCCGGCTGAAGGCCGACAACCACTGCCTTCTTAGTCTTGAGGGCTTGACCTGGAGAATAGATCAACAAGTATCACCTCTTGAGTTGGCCACGTAAGTTGTCAACCTATGGAGTTGGCTGCAGGAGCAGATCGAGTCGTCTGGGCTCTAATCATGTCTGATCTGGCGTGAAGTGGGACACATGTTGACTGCATACGCGATGAGTCATCATTGATTGGATGTGATGGAGATTGAGGAGATATGGGGGGGTGTTGAGTCATGGAGACTCGTGGGATTCGCAATGATGAGGATAGACAGCTGTCGCTGCGGAGTTTGAGGTCGAACCGTCTATTGACTCGGCTCTGTGAGAGGAACGACAAGTATTGCTTCTTTAGTCAGCCGTGCAAGATGTCGACCCAGCTCCGAGTGAATGAGGGTGGTCGACTCAATTGATGAGGTCGAGTGAGAGCTGATCTCGACTCGGCTTAGCTTAGGAGTTGAGGGTCAATGCTACCCGAGTCGCCCCTGGTGAGAGTGAGCTAGTATGGTTGATTAATTGACGTCATAACATCTGTATATGGTTAAAACCACCAGTGATGAATCTGTCCTTAGTCCTTTAAATAGGGACATGGCTCTTCGCGTCGCTTTGTGAATTGTGAGTCGGGCTAATTAATTTGGACTTTTAGCAACAAGTATAATTGTACGCATGTGATGGGATGATTCCAAGTCATTCATCAGATTCTAACAAAACATTCTCATACGGTAGAGCACCTTTACCGTTCATGGGTGATTAGCAAGTTGAATTAGGAATTTTAATTATTCTATTTATGGTGCAAGTCAACCGTACAAATAGCGGTGGTTCACAGAATTCCTATTCACGTAATAAGGGACTATTTCTCATTTTGCCTCCTTACCTTTTCCATGTTCGGATGACAGAAACTCTGCAGGGTAGCTTATTACATGAATTAGAGAGTAAAATCAGAAATTAGAGAGGTTCATTTGAAAAAACTTATGAGAACAGAGGGACTCAAGGGCAATTTCAATAATTTGAGGGTCTTAACTCACAGTGCTTCCCTCGTTGCAGGCAGATACCTTGAATGTTAACTGATCAGTAGCTAGCGTTCCCATTTAAAACTATGAAAGTATATATATAGCAAGTAAACCAGTAGTTTATGGAGCTCAACCATAAACAACACATATAACAATACACAATAACATTTGTCTCAAAAGAAATAAATAGCTAATATTAATACAATTATGCCTGGCTCAATTCTATCCTGCTAATGTACGGCTTAGTGAGTGAACCATAGTAGAGATGCTTTCCTATCTTGAGCCCAACCGTTACTGCGTACAAACTTTGATCTGAGTGAAGAGCAACTGGCTTGCCATCCAAAGTCACGCTCAATACGCCTGAGTCCCTCTCGAGCTCAGGCAACGATGCAAGCTTCCCTAAAACCGGCGAAATTTTCCTCAAGAACGGATACCTCATCAGTATATCCCAAGATCGAGTCCTTCCCTGCAAAACGAAAAGACCACGAAAATGTGTGAGTTCTCAATGGCGTTAGTTAGTTAGCGAGGGTTTATTCTGACAAAACATGGAGGGATCAAGTGACATTTGGAAGGTTCGCAGGGTAACTTCAGAAAATAGCCAATTGAGGGGGGGTTTTATGAAATTTCATTTGACTTGCTATTAGGGCCGCCGGATAACTTAGCCCTGTCCAAATGGGCTTTAGGCCCGGACCCGGCCAGGCCCGAACAGGCCCGGGCCCGGACCGAGGTGGTGAAGCCCGACCCTAGTCCGGCCCGGCCCGGTTTTTTTAATTATATATATAATATGTATATTTTTATGTATATTTTTCATATATAACTATAGTATGATATGGTTATTAATGCATACTTATATATATTTAAGTATATATTGTCATTAATGTATACTTATATATACTTACATATATTTTTTAATGTATATTATATATAATTATAGTATAATATGGTCATTAATATATACTTACATATAATTTATAGCTATGTACTAATATGTAAGTATATACTAATACATATTTATATAGATATAATAAGATTAATCTAATTTTTTAATCAATTTTAGCAAAAAAATATAAAAGAATCAAAAAAAAAAGAAAAGAAAATCCAGGACAGCCCGGAGTCTGGCCCAGGCACCCCGAGTCCGAGTACGAGCTAGGCATTTGCGTGGCACGAACCCGGAAATCCGGGCCGGGCCGGACCGTTTGGACAGCTCTTCACCCGTTCTTATAACTTGTCATTGCTATTCTTAATTGGAGGGACTAATTTGAAGCAGTTTTATAAGAATTGGGAAGCCTAATATCAAGTTAAATGAATAGAGGGACTAATCTAGGAACAACTTTAAAAGATTTGGGGCGTCTAATAGCAATTTCAATGATTCGACGGACTAATTTCAAATATTAGATTAAGAATTAATTAAGAGACTGATATTGGAAAAAGAGACCAACATAATACTTGTCTGCCAGAGGCGTGCGAGTTTAAGTTTTCGAAGGATGCAAAACGCAAACATTTTTGAGAAGTGAAATGTAAATATCATAAGAAATAATGTGAGAACTAATTAGGGTTTACCGCAGCAAACGCAATCCAATAGTGACCCTCTCCATCATATCGAATATTGTCAGGAAATCCAGGCAAATTTTCGACAAATGCTTCAACCTCCCCTTTTTTCTCCCCGTGAATGTGATACCTTTGGCATCTCCTTCTACATAAAATTAAAAAAAGAAAAAAAAAATCAATTTTCACGTTGTAATTAACATTACAAATTCAGATGTAGAAATCATTGTTACAAAGCTAAAATTTTTTATCGGTCATTAAGAAATGTTATATGGCTTACTAGCACCGTCTATAAAATTTCAAAGTACTGTAAGCAATTTTTAAGCTAATCCTGCTTACAAAAAATAAAAGACAGAATTGATGACAGTATATTTTCTGATGCAGCACCAACTATCAATAACAAAACATTCTCCTGGACTTGACCAAAAAAATTCAAGTAAATATGTAGGTGAAAATATGCCTTTACAATTTTGAACTTATTGCCCTTGTAGTTTCATTATTACAGATAGACCCCTGAGTTAAATTTTCTGAACTCTTCGTGAAATTTTGGCATATGTTGCCCCAGGGTAAAATTAGCAAAGTCTACTTGAGAATAAAATAGTAAACAAACTAACCCCGGAAGCCTATCTGCAAAAATGAAACCACAGGGGCAATAAGTTTAAATAAAGATACTTTATAATTAAACAGTGACGTAGGCAGGATTATTTTTCGCCCAGGGCGAAAAATAAAGGTGATCTACTAGTATGTCGTGAGGGAGAGGAGGGAGGCGTGGGAGAGGGAGGAGGGCTGGGGATTGTTCCTGGAAGAGGAAGGAGAGGAGGTTGGATTTGTGGGAGAGGGAGGTGAAGCGAGGGGAGGAGGGAGATCGAGGTCGTGAGAGAGGCGGAGTTTCTTGCCCTGGGCAGCTGCATGCCCAGCGCAAGCAAGCTCTGGCTACGCCCCTGTTTATAAGGTATAATATTCACGATTAACCAATAAATAATGAGCTTGTTAATCACTGAGACTTACACCGGTGTTTCGCAGAAGATCACTGACCGTTGATCAGGCGAAAGAGTGACGCCGTTAGCGAAGTAGAGATCACGCAGTAGAACAACAGTGTGATTAGTTGAAGGATCAAAGCTCAATAATCTACCATGAGGCCTGCCCTCTAAAATATCCAACATATGATCACCATGTAGTTTATATTTGTACGACGCATCAGTGAAATATATCATGCCATCTGATGCAACATCAACACCATCAGTGAGTTTAAATTTCAATCCTTCAGCTTCATCTGTTAATAGTTGCACTTCCCTGTTTGGCTTGACCAGTAGTAGACCCTATATGTAATTCATATATAAGAAATTTAGTAATGGTTAATTAATTAGCTCTATTATAAATTAATGAAATGAAAAAAAAATTCATCTAAATGTTAAGTACATAAAGTACATAATTAGTGTGACGTGTAGACTTAGTTTACAGTGATTCCCATTTTGACGTCGACGCCTCTGCAGATGTATTTTGCACTTCTGGTGAGTGGTGACGTATTCAAACATCCACGTTCAAATGCTGGAACAATGCAAAAAGTACAAATTGGACTCTTATTACTCTTTAAAACCTTATCCTGAATTTATTTGATTAAAATTTGTCGAGCGATTCTAACTTTTGCAGCGGAGTCAACAACATCTATGTCCTTCAAACCAAAGCTAGCTATTAATTCAATTCAAATCTTATCTCACATGGAAAATAAATCAAAATGAAGAAAGGTCAAAAAAAAAAGTTTTATATATGGTGGTAAATAACCCCAGCTAAATATGCGACGAAAATAATTCATATTAATAAAATGATAATTATATCAAGTTATTTCTATAATAATAATAATAATAATAGTAGAAGATGAACATCAAAGGGAATCTGAATTCGACTCCCAAGGTGGACCAAGTATTTATTAAAATGTCCAAAATATTCTAAGATCGAACCGTACCTCCATCAGTTTAATCCATTCAAAGCAATTAATGCTCATCACCACTCTAAAGATGCTAAATTAAAAAGTTTAGAGATAATAAATGACTAATCTTCTACAATATATGCATCCCCCCCCAAAAAAAAAACAAAGGTATCAAAAGCTCGGCTAAACTCACTCACCTTATCAGCCTCAGCCACAACCAAACTCCTCCTATCTGGGCCCAAAGCAAGCCCAAGCGGGCGGCCGCCCACCCAAGCCCAATCCTCAACTTCGGCCTTCGGCACATCACCATCCTCCCTCGCCAGTATAAAGAAGCCCGTTCCCAGCATCATGGGCCAGATCCTCCGGGCCGGGCAAAAGCCCATCTCCAATCCTCTGTGTCACCGCGGCTATGTGGTTATTTGTACGTGGCACTTCGATGGATTTGTCGAAAGAGTAGGCAGGGATTTGTATGGGATCAAAATCTTTGGGAACTTTATAGAGAAGTACGGATAGTGTTAAAGGGAGTATTAAGATTATTAGGAGAAGAGCAAGTGGTCGAGTTTGAGAGGTTTTGGCGTTCGCCATGGGTGTGATTGAGGTAGGAGACGTGGGTAGATGGGTTTTTTTTTTAATATCCTCTAGGGAGAATTCATTGAGGGGTTTGGAATTTTTGAGTCAAATTAATTA